TATGGATTGGAAAAGGCTATACAGGTGGATAGGGGGCTATGTGCTGATTTTGGCAAGTAGTATGGTTAGAGAGGTAGGTTACTGAAGAGCAGTGAAGAGTTTTTACGAGGATAGTGAGGCTCAAGTTAGAGTATGTTCGGAAAGAGGAAATTTTTTCCCATAAAAGTAGGCCTTAGACAAGATGTGGTGATGTCACTGTGGTTGTTTAATATATTTATAGATGGGGTTGTAAGAGAAGTAAAGGCGAGGGTCTTAGGCAAGAGGCGTGGAGTTGAAAGCGATAAAAATCAACCACACAAAGTGGGGGTTTCACAGCTGCTCTTTGCTGATGAACACTGTGCTTTTGGGAGATTCTGAAGAGAAGCTGCAGAGATTGTTGAGGAATGAATTTGGTAGGGTGTGCCAAAAGAAGAAATTAAAGGTGAATACAGGAAGAGTAAGGTTATTGAGGATAACAAAAAAGATTAGGTGATGAAAGATTGAATTATCAGACCTGGAGGGAGAGAGTAATGAGGAGGTGAACGTATTCAGATATATGGGAGTGGAACGTGTCACGGATGGGTCTATGAAAGATGAGGTGAATCATAGATTGATGATGGAAAAAGAGTGAGTGGTGCACTTAGGAGTCTGTGGAGACCAAGAACTTTGTCCTTAAGAGCAAAGAGGGAATGGATGAGAGTATAGTTTTACCAACGCTCTTACTGGGTGTGAAGCGTGGTGATGAATGTTTGCAGCTAGGAGAAGGCTGGAGGCAGTGGAGAATGTCCATGTCTGAGGGCAATTGTGGTGTGAAGATAATGCAGAGAGCAGAATTCGTAGTTTGGAAGTTAGGAGGAGGTGCGGATTACCAAAACTGTGTCCAGAGGGCTGAGGAAGGTTGTTGAGGGTGATTCGGACATGTAAGAGAATTGGAGCGAAACAGAATGACTTCAAGAGTGGATCAGTCTGTTAGTGGAAGAAGGCGGGGTAGGGTCGGCCTAGGAAGGGTTGGAGGGAGGGGTAAAGAGAAGGTTTTGTGTGCGAGGGCTTTGGACTTCCAGCAGGCATGCGTGAGCGTGTTGATAGGAGTGAATGGAGACAAATGTTTTTTAATACTTGGACGGTGCTGTTGGAGTGTGAGCAAAGTACTTTATGAAGGGATTCAGGGAAACCGGCAGGCCGGACTTGAGTCCTGGAGATGGGAAGTACAGTGCCTGCACTCTGAAGGAGGGGTGTTAATGTTGCAGTTTAAAAACTGTAGTGTAAAGCACCCTTCTGGCAAGACAGTGATGGAGTGAATGATGGTGAAAGTTTTTCTTTTTCGGGCCACCCTGCCTTGGTGGGAATCGGCCAGTGTGATAATAAATAATAATAAACCTGATAGGATAGTGATAGAGTGAATGATGGTGAAAGTATTTAACTTTTTGGGGTCACTATCACAGTGGGAGATGGCTGGTGTCCTAAAAACAAAAATTATTATGTGAATTAATTTTACCAATGTTGAGGGAAAGTATTGGTTGACGAACATTTTATTCAGACTATTAATCCAGTGGGTTAGTAAACAAGGAGAACCTAACATTAGACTAAATAGCATATTTCTATGAGAGCCTTTGATCCTCTTCTCTAGGATGTAACCTCACGATAGTTAACTAACACCCAGGCACCTACTTATGGCTAGATGAACAGGGCAATAGGTACGGGTATTATAACTCAAGTATGTTAGAGGACCACAATTAACTTTTTCAACACACTTGCAACATCAACAAGCAACAGCAGCCAGAAGTTTTTTTTGTAAGATAAAGCTGTCTTTTGACTTTCATAACCATTTTCAAAAAGTTTGTTCATGTTATTTGGATTTCAAGGGAACATAATCCTATTAGTTCAAATGATCTTATTTCGTTGAATGTAATTTAACTAAAGAAGTCGCCCTTCAAGAATGACCCAGTGGGCTGCTTGAAGATCATTGTATCCATCAATATTATGTTTTTTTAGATCTTGCTCATAGGTTATAGATCAGTATAACTTGTGTAGTCATAATTTAGCAACCTAATGTAAGCCCCATAAGGCAATTCAATAGTGGGAACACAGTAGAGGTAAGTAGGTGAGAGGGGAGAGGTGGACACTGAGGAAAGGACATTGGGCTAAAAGCAGAGGGTTTACAGCTGGTGCAGAAATCGTATTAATGAATAAAAAAAATTGCTGTAGGAAAGCAAGCATGGCAGGGGTGAAAAATGCATGTCAATGAAGTTTTGGCCTATGAAGTATATCCAAAAGATGTCCAGTGATCCCTCGTTTATCGTCGTTAATCCGTCCCTGGAAGTGCGACGATTATCGAAATAGACGGATTTTCGAATCAATTTTCCCCCATAAGGAAAATTGTAAATACAGTGGACCCCCTGTTCAACGATATAATCCGTTCCTGAAGCTCATCGTAAACCAAAACCTATCGAAAGCGAATCAATTTTCCCCAAGAAGAAAAATGGAAATCAAATTAAATCGCGTGCAAGAACACCCAAAAGTATGAAAAAAAAAAAACTTGTACCACATGAAAGTATTAAGTTTAATGCAATAGAATAATTACAATACAACATAACAATAAATAACATAAATACAAAAGATTTTGACACTTATCTTTAATGAAGATCTGGTGATGATGATGGGGTGGGAGGAGGGAAGTGTGTGGATGGTTTAGCATTTGAAGGGGAAATCCCTCCATTCGGACTTGAGGTAGCAAGTCCTTTCCGGGTTACTTCCCTTCTCTTTTAGTGCCTCTTAGGACCAGGTTGAAAGTCACTTGGACTTGTGTCCGCAACAACATATCTGTCCATAGAGGCCTGTACCTCCGTTCCTTTATGACTTTCCTAAAGTGTTTCCACAACACTGGTCAGCGTAATAGTCCCACCAGCCTGGCTTGCAATAGCTGAGTGAGGGTGATTTTCATCATAAAGGTTTGCACTTCAAGCCACTTTGCACATATTTCCTTAATCTTAGAAGTAGGCAACCACTTCAATATTCTCTCTCCTCCCCTCCTCCGAAGCAGTTGTCCTCAGGTGTGGCCTCTTGCTGTTGAAGATGATCATAGCAGCTCATCCAGTGGTCAGTTCTTTCATTTGTCCTCCTCCACCAACTCGTCCACATCCCAACCCACTAACCTCCAACCCCAAGGACTCCCCTTGGCCAACAATGAATTCCTCAACTGGCATAGCTTCTCAGGTTAGCCTCAAACCTTTCGAATCCCTTTTGTCTACACATTCTGGCCACAGTTTTTTCCAGGCAGAGTTAAGGGTCCTCTTAGTCACTGGGTCCCTCCCAAGCCTTACCTGTAAGGTTTTACACAATCTGAGGAATTAAAGTGGATCCTTTCCAAAACTCCTTTAGAGGTCCAATTGAGTTTCTGATGTCACTTCAAAGCACCTTCAAACATAGCTTTTTTGTGTACATGTTTCTTGAAGATTGGCAATGACCTGCTGGTCCATGGGCCTGCAGGAGAGGAGTGGTAATTAGGAAGCAAAAACCTTGACATTAAATGAAACTCATGTCCCCATAATCACTCTGCCAAGTCTGTAGGAATGACCAGGGGCATTGTCTAATACAGGAGGCACCTTAAGGTCTAATTTATTTTCATTAGGTAAATTTTCACTTGGGGGCAAATGCATGGTGTAGCCAGTCATATGAAAAAGTCCCTAGTGACCCATGCCTTACTGTTTGCCCTCCACAGCACACACATAATTAGCCTTGAGGACATTCCTTGCCTGAAATGCTCTGGGAGTTTTTTTCTGATGATACACACCAATAAAGGCTTTACTTTGCAATCACACACAAGCATTGGCACACATCAACAGAGTAAGTCCGTCTTTCATAGGCTTATGTCCTGGAGTGCCTTTTCCTCCTAGTAATGTAGGTCCTGCTGGTAATTCTTCCAAAACAGCCTGTATTCACATCACAATTAAAACACTCATCAGTGTCATCCTTTCACTGTCTATTACTCCTTGAATTCCTGCACATATATTCAGCCGCTTGTGTCCGAACTGGCCAAGCCTCACCATGCTTTTCACTCATGTATGCCACTACGATTCTTAGATCTCTCAAACCAACCTTTGCTGCCCTTAAATTCACTCACATCACGCACTAATTGCAGGCAATTTTTTACCAAATCGTCCATGCAAATGCTAGCCTTTTCACACATGATTGCTTGAGAGATGCTATCTCCTGCTATCTGTTTGTCATTTATCCACACAATAACAGTTTTTTCAACATTTCCTAACACTTGCGTTGCTGTTTCGTAATCACAGTTGCACCTTTTGCAAGAACAGCTTCCTTGATTGCCTTTTTGTTGGCCACGATAGTAGAGATGGTTTGATTGGGGTTTACCATACAACCTGACCAGCTCCGACACACGCACGTCCCTCCACTTTCGTACTTTGCAATATCTCTTTCTTCATTTCAACAGTCATTAGCACCCTTGGTCTCGAAGGGTTGGCACTGGGAGCTTCTTGGGGCCCATGGTGACATATTTGCAGAAACAGGTACCAAAAACAGTGATACTATGGATAATATGAATTACCGAATGTATCCTTAGATGTGCGCACACTGGCACACAAGAGGCAGTTCAGGCACACACGTGGACACGGTCTCGTACGCATCGTATCGCATACCGGTTTTTGTATCGGGAAGAGAGGCAAATTATTTTTATCCAAATCCATCGGCTATCGATTTTAACCGGATACCGATACATCGGGAACCGGGGGTCCCACTGATACAATTAACCCGTTTCCTGAGACCCAGAAGTATTAAAACAAAAAATTGTTTTACATGAAATATAGATGTAGTACATAAACAATACAATGGGACTGATGAATGAAACATTTTTTACAGCATAGCCTTTACCTTATTGGCAATTACTTCTTAGTGTAATGGAAGACTGGATGAGGATTAGACATTGGAATTAGTTACTGTTTGGAAGTGGAATGCCCTTCCATCACAACACCATCGGTACCAAGTCCTTTTCTGGGGTTACATACTTCTACTTCTCTTTTCTTAATGCCACTAGGAAAAACCAGCTGAGAGTCCTGGGAGTCCTGTCCACAAAAAAAGTGTCAAGAGTAGCTCTGTTTCTGGGGTCTCTTTAAAACTTCTCCTAAAATGGGCCAAGACTCTGTCACTGTACAAGTTGCTGATCTGGTTTGCAACATCCTTCTCAGGTGATGTTTCTCCATAAATCTTCTCATCCTAACCCCACATTTTAAAAAACCTCCTTATTTTTTCCCATGAAGAAGGCACCTTCTTCCATCCTCTTTCTCCTCCACTGCACAAGATTCGAGCTGCAATCTGTTGCTGTTCCTGCTGAAGCTCTTGCAGTTCCTCAGTGGTTAGCTCTTCATTGTGGTCCTCCACCAACTCTTTCCACACCTCCCAACTCACATCCAAACCCCATGGAACTCCCCAATGCCACAATAATTTCACACCTGACATAGGCTCATCAGGGTCAGCCACAAACCCTTCAAAATCCCTCTGCGACACAATCTGGCCATAGGGGGGGGGGCAATTTTCTCCAAGCAACAACAGCTTCCCTTGATTTCCTTTTTTCTTTGCCACGATGGAAATATGGTTGTATGGGGTTTTGGTTATACATCTGCCAGTTCGACCAACATACGCCACTTTGATATTGTTCAATATGTTTTTCTTTAATCAATCGTTTTCTCACCTTTTTACCAAGGCTTGCACTAGGAGCTTTCTTTGGAGCAGGTAGCTTATTTAGCACTTGCAAAGCACTAAAATGAATGGAATTATTATGAAATAATTCTATGAACAAGTGAGGGACTGTTGCTCACTGTAAAACAATGGCACACTGGCTGGAAAGGAGGCCGAGGCGGCTCAGAGCTGTGAGGTATGGGTCCAGGCGAACGACAATTAGCGAGTCAACCGACCATTTTGCCGAGCCAATGTTTGGACAAAATAACACGAGGAAATTTCAAAAAGGACTACTAATCGAGCCGAACGATTATCTAGGGACCACTGTACATGATAAAAAAGAAAACGATAAAAAACTATATGATGATCCAGTACAGCGTACGTATTAACAGAAGCGCCATTGCCTTACTAATAATCTTTCGGGCAACAATTTTTGTCTTCAATAAATAAGTATTCTCAGTTTTATACTGAACATGCAATAGTACAACAATTATTTATTTCTCATCCGACAGTATAAAGGAAAAAGTCTGTTGAGTACACTGGTTTAAGTGTATGGTAGAGTATTATTGAAAGATTAAGAGTAAGAGGAGAGCAGGAAGGATAGGGGGTGCATAGACCAAGTATTTAGAGTGAATACATATAGGTCAACAGTATTAGGTAAGGGTAAAGAGGGGTTTTTGTGGCTTTTGGAAAAGGTGTATGATAGGTGGTTTTTTATGTGGATTTGGAAAGGCATATTGAATAGGGTAGGTAGGGGAAAAAGTGGCAAATGGTACAGAAGTACACAGCACGGAGGTAGGTTATTGAAAGCAGTGAAGATTTTTATGAGATAGTAGGCTCAGATTAGTGTATTAGAGAGAGAGAGGGAGATTATTTTCCCATAAAACAGGTAGGCCTTAACAGGATGTTGTGATGTCACTCATGGTTGTTCAAATATATTTTATAGAATAGAGGGTTGTAAGAGAAAGTGAATTTCCTTCTTTTACATACCCTAACAAACTCATTTTCCACCAACCTCTACAATTCTCTTTCAGAATCTCCAAAAGCACAGTATCATCACAAAAAGGTTTGTGGATGAGTTTGGTAGGTAGTAAAAGAAGGAAATTAAAAGGAACATAGAAAAAAGGTAAGTGATGGGGAAACAAAAAATTTTGAGATGAAGGATTGTACATCAGACTGAGAGAAGAAGTATGGGAAGAAGTGATAGTCATATGACTTGTAACAGGTGGGTCCTATGAAAGACAAAGGTGAATCATAGAACTGATGAAGAAAGAGGTTGAGTGGACACTGAGATCTATGGAGAACAAAGAACATATTCTTGAGCAAAGAAGGAATGTATTAGATGTATAGCTATACTTAATGCTCTATATGGTTGTGAAGCATGGGTGGTGAATGTTGCAACAAGGAAAGCTGGAGGCAGTGAAGATTTTGTGTCTGAGGGCAATGTGTGGTGTGAATACAATGCAGAGAATCCCCAGTCCGAAATTGGCAGGAAAGATGGAGGTTACTAAAACTATTATCCGCAGAAGTTGATTAGTTGTTTGAGGTGGTTCAGAACATTAAGAGATGGAAAAAGAATGGCTTTTCGAAAACATATAAATCTGTATGGAAGGAAGGCAAGGAAAGGTTGGAGGGAGAGGGTGAAGTGTGAGTGAGTGTGTTAGATAAGGGGAGAGAGTAGACACAAATGGTTTTTAACGATGTGGCTGTTGCAGTGTGAAGCAAGGTAACATTTTATGAAGGATTTAGGTAAACCTGGCAGGGCAGACATGGAAGTAGGAGGTACACTGCCACATTCTGAAGAAGGAGTGTTTGGTAAGTTGCAGTTAAAAAAACCTTTCACTTCAGTTCCATAATCTTATGGCTTTGAAGCCAGTGTGGTTCCATAATACTCTACGCCAAAATTTCTAGCAGCTCTTCCAACTTGTGGGAGAAAGGTTGGTAGGCCTACATATGAGAGAATGGTCTGCGTGGTCAGTGTGCACATATAAAAAAATATCCTGCAGCATGTAGTGCATGAACGAGAAAAAAAACAGTGATCATATGTTTGGTTGTAAAACACCGACTTTGCAGTGTATTTTTGGATTGACTTTTATGGTTGTATCTTTGGTTTCTTGGGTCTCATTTGACAGATGGAAGATATAACTACAGAATTGGGATATTTTGAGTGGTTTACAGACTAAAAGTAGCTTGAAATTGAGCTAAAAAGTAGCAGAAATGTTTGATTTTTGCCAATGTTCAAGAGTAAACAAACCAGATCATGCATCCAAGACACATCAAATGGCTGGTCTAATATGCACTCACAAATGCACTGACAATCATTTATACAATTATTACCATTATGCAGAAGTTTGAATAACAGTAAATCTTCTATTTTTTTGTATGAATAAAAATTCAAAATGAAAGCAAGCATAATATAAGAGGGGCCTGGAGACATGACTAATTAACAGAGAAAGTTATTTTAGTGCCAGGAATGTCTACATTATTTATTCTAGACCCTATTTTCAAATTGGCCTTTCTTGTATTTTGTGTGAAAGTGACCAAATTACCAATTTCTGATCACTTTATTGGGTAGTTGAAAAAGGTAAATGAGCAGTTTCTTGTACTCAGTTGATGGAACAAAAGGAGTGCTAGCAAAATAGCTATGAATATATCGACTGGAACAATAGAACTGGCCCAAGATAAGGCTCAAAGTGGGTGAAATCACCAATGTATAAATATCGTTAAGACCGCTAATTTCGCGAGAGCATAATTCCGTAAGTTTTCCACCAAATTTTGTGATTTTGGTTTCATTACGTTTTGGAAAAAGATTCTCTATCATTTCATTAGAAAAAATATTTTTCTTTTTAAATTCTTCAACACTGAAAAGCAAGTTGGCGAGCAGGGGGTTTCGACAGTGAAAAGATTAATAAATGTGGTGCAGGTGCGCCTCTGGCAAGACAAGGATGGAGTGAATGACGATGAAAGTGTGTCTTCTTTTTTGGGTCACCCTGTCTTGGTGGGAAATGGCCAATGTGTTAAAAAAAAAAATAAAACTTATCTTTATTATGTTCTTGTTGACACATCGTCTTAATCTTGTATTTTCTTCTAATTTTGGGACTCCCTGATTTATGTGTGAACCACATTAAAATCTTGAATTTCAGGTGGTGGTTTGAGTTTATATAGTCTGGAGTTTTACAACTCTCTAACTGTGGGTTCAAGCCCTGCCCGTGGTATGGTTTGTTTACGATTGTGTCATTATGATTTCGTGAGTCTTAAAATAAAGATTTTGCTATATTGTGAAGTGTAGTGAAAAGTGATGTGTTTTAGTGTGAGATATATGTTGTATATTCCAGTGAAGATAGTGAATGTGATGTATGCTAATTGTTTTGTGTTGACAATACTTGCTATATTGTGTAGTCAAGTATTACATTGAGATATTAGCTATGCTGCTTGGCAAAGATAGTAATGTGTTGTGTTGAAATTGATATATGATCCAAGAAAGTAAATGGAAGGCCAACAGATGTACAGTTGCATACGAAGAAAAGGCGATATGATACAAAAAGGAAAGTAAACTATATATGACTTGTACATACCATTATAGTTGCAGTAGATATGTTATCATCATTACCCCCCCAGCATTCACCAATATTGGGACACCTAGCCTCTTCACAAACTGTGTGGAGATTAAGTCCACGGAGGTCAGCCTTAACTGAAAGACAAATTTTACCGTGAAGAAACCAAGTCTCTAATTTAAAGAATATTGCATAAGATGATAGGTGGGAAGAGACTTTTTTTTTTTGCTGTTTTTATAACAATGTAACAAATGATTATTGAACAAAATATTTAAGACATTTTAAATATTTTCAATGTAATTACGTACTTTGTTTCAAATTAACTATCTAACAAAAATAGGTAATCTTACTGAAAATAAATACAACGATATGTGAGGATGTATTACTAAGCACTAAATTATTTGTAACCTGGAAATGTTATAAAGTATTAAAAGAATCCAAGAAAAAAAATACTCCAAAAACAAATCATTTCAGGAAAAACAAGTTGGCCCTTAAATGTAGAAACAAAAGTAAAAAATATAAAATTACAGTACATGTAATTTACTTTTTTGAATGTTAGTAAATATTAATGCTCCTGTATTTATTAATGGGTCATTCAGTGCTACACAGCTAATGGAGGTCAACATCAGAGAGAGAGAAATTATATAATAATAATCAAGGGGGAAGTGCTAAACCCATAAGAATATATAGCATCTGTGGGGGGATGTGGAAGGTACTTAGGTTTAATTCAGGGAACTGCAGTACAGATCCAATTCCCTAGATCAAGAGCCCCTCATCAGCATCAAGGAACCTTCCTTGAGGGGAGAGGGAGAGAAACAGGATAAAGGGTAGGTACAAGGGCAAAAGGAGTAAATCACATTATATCATGGTTTTGTCTAGTTTTGGATTGTCTTTTTAACTATTTTTAAACCTTTCCAATTACTATCGATGTGAATCATTGTTGAGTTAGTGTTTAATCGGCAGTGCATGCTACAGAACTAAATACTAATTATTTATAAAAGGGCTTGGCATACTCAATTTTAAATACTCTAAATGAAATTTAGCTCCAATTATTTTAGTGTACCCTGAAGACATTTAGAAGTTCTAAGAACTTAGTGATAATTGCAACAAGTGCATCACCAACCTTGCTATAGTTTTTGCCAATGGGAATTTCTCGCTTGAGCCACGGTGGAAGCCTTAGGCGTTCAGTGTCTCCTGCCTCTCGCTTCAGCTTCCCAGTGTAGTCTGACCATGAAGTGTCTCTGGTTACCTGTGAAGATCATCTTTGATTTAAGTATCAATTACATACTAGTCAGTATCACCATACCATTTTTCAATAAATATCAGTATCAGCGGGTATCATCAATTTTTTGTGGAATCAGTATCGGTAAAAATGTGGCTGATACTAGCCGATACTTTTAAAACATTAATATTACACGTGCTTAAAAAAAGTCAAAATAACACTCTTCCTGTAAGAGTGTAAGAGTTACTCACATACGCTCACACTAATACAGTACATACACTACAACTGAGTAATAAAAGAGTTGAATACAAGACATCACTGGTAACTGTAGGCAAATAGTGAGCCACTTCAGTTACTCTCCTCTAGACTGCAGTAAACAGGAGGCTTTTCAAATTCCACATGAACTACCAAAGCACAAGCTCATTCAGAATGTGATGAAATGGATACATGTATAACATCTGGGTATTTTGCTTTGTAGATGTTTTGCCATCCAGTGGCTTTATCAATACAATGCATGGGCATAATATGAAGACTAGAAATATGTACAGAAGACAGTGGAAGATGAGGTTATCAGTACCTCAGCCTAGGAGCGGTGAGCCAGAATTAAATGTGAAATAACATTTAATATGAGAAGAACTTTCAAATTTACATACGGCACGTGAAAATTAAGGCTTGCTTTGTAAGAAAAATAATGACCAGGCAACAATATTGGTAGATAGCAAAGATTTCATTAAATAAATAATATAAATATACACAGAATAAAACCACAAGTGCAAAGACAAAAGACTACTTGCTTCTCCTGATATGAAGTCTCCAAGTGATGGTCCTTCAGCCACCTTCTTTTTCTTCTCTTTGGATAAGCTGCTGGTATGTCTGATGACAGCAGTCCTGGATGAAGTACAAACCTAAAGAATAAAATAATAACTTAACTAAACATGTTCATAAACCTATATACAGCCTCTCCTCACTTAGTGGCACACTCATTTACCAATGACTTGGACTTACGACGAGCTCTCTGACCAGTACACATACCTAAATACAGTGGACCCCCGGTTAACGATATTTTTTCATTCCAGAAGTATGTTCAGGTGCCAGTACGACTGAATTTGTT